AATCCAAGGCAACGACTTGCAGCTGTTTAGTATTATTATCAAACTTTTCAAGTTATTATAAATTCACGCGGTGCATCGTGTGGCACTAATAATTATAATTTATAATTTTATTGATTATAATTGTTTTTTTTTGACAGAATTGTCATTGTAACTGTAGTGCTGATAATGATAGGATTTAAGATAGAGGTTAGTTAGTAACGTTAGTATGCTAACATAAATAGGTAAATTTTAAAATTTAATTTAGAAAAAAATTTTACGAGTATTAGATAGAAGTGATTGAATCATTAACAATGAGACTATGTCTACGAATAATTCTTATAAAACATTATCTTATCTAAATAGTCACAATTGAAATAAAACAATCTACAATTAAGCAAAGCACATGCATATATTGGGGAACTGTGTAATATATATACGTATGTGTTTTTTATCGATAATTATTTTTGTTTTTGGTATTATAATATTTACATATGGTATAAATATTACATACTGTGTTACTTTTCAATTTAAAATAAAAATTGTATGCTGTATTAGTCAAACCATTAGAGTGACATTTTATGATATTACATCAACAACATGATATTATAAGTTCTCGTATTATTAAAACATTGTATCAGATTATTAAATTATAATATATTCATTCAGTCATTCTATAATATTGATCAAAAGTTATTTTTTACATAATTCAGTATCGTGATAATTGTGTACATATTTATATACAACAAAATTCAAGTTGTGAACAGTATGTTCTATTTGTTTAAAAATCGCACATGCCATTTATTATCTCATATTTTGACTTTTAAGTCTATTTATATATATTTCTGCTTTAGTGCACATTTTAAAATATTTACTTAGATTTTATTTATTTCATGAACATGTAGATATTTTCATCATACAATCTTATTAAATTGTATAAATAACATATAAATACTATACCACGATACATCATAGTGATTATTATTTGGTCTATAATATATATTACCATAGTATATATTTATATACACCTACGCACACGTGTTAAGCATAAACTCTAACCTACATTACTATATTTATCCATGCGTATATAGGTATAAATTGTGGTATACATATATAAATATAATCGGTACAATTACGTCAAATAAAATATATTAAATATGACATTTTATGCGATAGTCATCACATGGAAAAGACACTGCACAGTCTGTTAGTATAATACGTATATATATATTATACTATGTAATATTATATACCTATATATATATCGTTAAACGTACCATACTATACACTATAGCAAAAGTAAGCTGGTACTAAAAAAAAAAAAAAATTGTGCATTAATTTGATATTTTAATTAATAATTGGAACGGCGGTGATAAGACGTCTGATTAAAATATTATGTTTTAATCAATTTAATTGTTTGTAATTATAATAATATTATTATGAGTAAACGACACGCGAGCCGATAACAGTGTTGATAACGCACGAATTAGGCTTTTCGCTACACATAGACATATATACATAAATAATACATGGTATAGGTACTATATATTCTTATTTTTTCTCCCCTTTAATAATATACCAACGCGTGCAGATACACACACCTATACACACGCACACACACTTTCGTTTTCCCTATATTTGTTAAATTTTTTACCATTTCTCTCTCTCTCTCTTTATATATATATATAAATATATATATATAAGCCTATAATGTACACATATAGGGTAGGTATAGGTATCCCATATATACATACAAATAATATGCGTTCGTATAAAACATTACTTAAAAATAACGCACATCGGCACATCCCCAATGTATGAATATACTCGTCCGGTATAATTGATTAATTAATTCCACTGGGATGACATATATCGTTGTTGCAGCGCATTTGCTGGTAGACACGAAAATATTATTACCTATATATATATACGCACACGTTTGTCTATCGAAATATAATATGTAGTATTCCACGTACATAGTCCAAACAAATTAATAAATATCTACCATTCTATCATATATATAGTGGAGGGAAAAAACACGTCTTAATTATATACACAAGTATACGACATAACATTCCGAAATTGAAATTGCCTTATTATGGGTCTGTGGCACGCGCGTATATCGAAATCGGCTTTGAAACTTTTGTAGACAGTTCGCCAGAAAGATAGAGAGAGAGAGAGAGAGAGAGACAAAAGTAATTTATTTTTGTAATTTATATACACATCATAAACGTGTATATTAAACATAAAGTTATTGTACATAGGTAGGTGTATATATATATACATAATATTTATTATATCCGCGAGCGCGTTATTCGGTCTCAATTAAGCAGCTCGCGCGACAGCGCACGACGGGACGGCAATGCATTCGACTATATTATAAATATATATATAAATATTTCACATGTTTATATATAGTGAAACAACTGCGTAGGTATGGCAATATAATATAGCGCGCACAAAAAGGGGAAATAACGGCGGTAATTGGGACAGCATTTCATGTATTTTATACGGAATTTGAACTTTTTAAAGTATTGAAACAAAAACGAGCGCTGCGGCCGGGGAATAGCAGAGTACCCGCGTAGAACGAGAAAAGTGATTAAAAACAAATGGGCTTGAAAACGTATTTCCCCCCACCGGCGGTTTACCAGAACAATTACCACTACGTCGTCGTCATCGGCAACTGATTTTTCCCACGTGACCCGAGACGGTTAGGTTAGGAAGGAACTTATATATGACGCGACTGGTGCAGATATATATAATCATTAATCATATAAACATGATATGAATAATAAAATACCTGAATCTACATTAGGGGTAGGTATAATTAAATTCTATGGCAGTCTAGAAAATTTGAAAAAAAAATTTCGAGGGCCAGTGAAAACTTAAATATAGTACCTATATAGGTATAATTTGTTGTGTTATCGTAACTATTATTGCAGTAAACAGCGATAAACGATGAACGCCATCGTAATCTCCAAATATAGGTATACATCATAAAATAAATCAAATATACATATTATGTATACCAACATTTAAAAATATTTTTTTGCGGTTCAATTATTTTCCTTCCACAGGCCTGCAGATCGCCTATTGCTGACCCCTGACCTATAATATCCATACCGCGTACACGAACTTAGATACCTAATAATCTTTTGTTTGATATAAGTTCATATACATTTCACATTTCTGATGGAAATTTAGGGGGGGACACTTTGTCTTCTACTATGCGGTGGTCGTCCATGAATATACGTTCATTTAATGTAAGTAGCGAAGTCAACAACGCTTTCATCCAAGTTATCCATTAAGTCATCGACAATTTCTTGCAAGTCCTTTAATGGTATGAATAGTAAAGGCATTAGCTCTAATAAATTATTTCTTATAATTGGCCGGTTAGTTCAAATGCTCCTCTATTAAGCAACGGTTGCAGTTAATATTGCATAAAGATTGTCAAAAATAAAACAAACAGCCTGTTATAAAGAGCTTATTAAATATAGTTCTTATATCTTTTATGTTTTCTGGCTCAAAATCGCATCCCACGAGTTGAGGATTTCATGTTAAATTATACCATCCTTTAAAAATTATAAGTTCTTGATAAATTATACTATAGGCGCTCGTTTATTTTTTATGAGCAGTCAATGCATAAACTATAGAGGAAATACATTATCTATGTAAATTCTGTGTATAGTATATATAACAACATGTACTTGGCACAGTTTTTAAAGATCCATTGAAGAAAATGGTATTACTTGCAACCATTAATCGAATATTTTCTATTGATGAAAATATTATTAATCTGTCGGGGTCATTATTAATACACACTTTGCAATATTTTATTTAATTTTGGATTAGGCATTATTCTTTAGCCATATCGTTTGCCATTCACCTTACGTTATAGATTGTTTGATTTTCATATTTTATAGCATTATCTGATATGAATAGTATGGTTTTGATAAACGAATAATATTTATAACAAAATTCATTGTTTGTAAGTAATGATTTATTCTTTTTAGATCCAATGATTCTTGGGTTAGATCTTGACATTATATTTAATCAAGTGGTTTTTAACTTAAAATGTTGTTTTTAAATAAATAATTATCAATACATCGCTCAAAAGTCCACGGCAAATATAATAAGTAGGGCATTTAAAGTTTTATGTGACAAAATTTGTATTACGGTTTAATAAAGGAATCACTCTTAAGCGATTGCCACTATTTTTAAACATTTGAAAGCCGGTCCTTTAATATAGGTATTATGTGCTCGTGCATCATATCGCAATGTGCATCAATGGTACTCACAAGAACACTATATTCTCGTTATACCGTAAATATATAACTTATTTTTCAGAAATATTACGTGGAATTTTTTGTCCATAGCAATACAAATTACGTATATTCATAGGTTAAATTTGATACATATTTTAAACGTTAATTATTGTTAAACGATAAAGATCTAAATATATTTATCCATAATTATATGGATCCTCAGAATTCGATTCCAAATATTTTAATCAGAATTTATGGTAGATACTTGTACACAACGCAAACTGATTTACGAAATACTTATGGCTGAGATAAATAGACTTGGGTCAAGTATACAATTACAACGTACCAACCTATACTTATATTTTTTATAATGCTAAAGCGTTAGCCAGTGGTGGATTGGCCAAAGAGGCAAAGGGGCAATTACTTCCAGGGCCCTTGATTGTGTCAATCAATAAAAATTATACATATTTAAGTATAAAATGTAATATTAAAGTATTATTATACTTGATTAATGGCTAAGACACCATTTATTTTCAAATGAATAAAAATCAATTGATCACTATTAACTAAAAATATTTATTGATTAAAATGTGATAACCTATTATTATCAAAATAGGTCCAGTTGATTAACCCTCCGGACCCGTCGAATCTCGATACCCAGTCCTCCCCAGGCGTTAACGTTTTATTTTATCATAGGTAACTATTAATAGAGTATATAATATTATAAAAAACAAGATATAGTATTTTTTAAATATTTACCTCCGGACTCCTGATCTTTGTGGCTGTTGCGCTTCAATCCGAGTATGGCGTCGATGGTATGGTGCTTGGGCGCCGGCACGGACGTAGCCGCGTTCGCCATCATCGGTCTGTGATTGTGAGGCGGCCCGTTGAACGCCAGACCGAGTGCCGTGACGGCGGCCTGGTGTCTCCTGATCAGCAGCTCGATGTTAGCCCTGCTGTAGGGTGGCATCTGCGCGGCGGTCGGCATCATTTCGCCGTCGCTGTTGCTGTCCGTCTCCATGTCGGCGACGACGATAACGACGACAATAAAACGTTAGCCACCGATGTGTGTTCGAAACGACGCCGCGGCGTGACAGACGTGAGCTTATATATAATTATTATTATTGTTTTTATTATTTAACGTGTTCGTTGTTTGGACGAAGGTTTTGAGCGAATGGGAAAAAAAACCGATATAAATATACGTCGTTATTATATTATAATCACGCGGATAACTCGCCCGGACGACGGCAATATTTTCACGTGTACAGCGGAATAATAATATTTATTATGTTATTATACAGTCGTCGATGTTGTGTATAATTGTCTACCGCGTCATTCGTGAACGGCGCAGATTGTGCTCGCGGGCGGAGCTGGTGCAATAACCGTGCAGACGACGAGAAAACAAGAACCGGAGTCCCACGACTGTTCGGCGGCGGTGTGCCGGTCGCGCCAGACGCGACGCGCGTTGCGCCACCGGGGTGGGAGGCGCGGCCACCGCGGACCAATGGCGAGCCACCTGGCGCCCCTCCCCGCCCGGAGTTGTTACCCCCGAACCGCCGAGGCTTTCGTATAAACGGGCCACTTGTGCGCGCTCCACCCCCCCCAACCCGTGCGTCACACCTAACTATCGTTCCATCGTCAACGGGTCTCCGGGTATAATTCGATAAATGTTCTTTTCAAAACCCTAAATGCCCCCGAGGGTCTCACCGCGGACGGGGTGGTGGTGGTGGTGGCGGTGGCGGTAGTGGCGCGGTAACGGCAAGAGAGTGAGAGAGAATGATGGTGAGACGATGACGACGACGACGACGACGACGACGACGAGGCGTCCCTCTTATTTATTTACTAGCGTGTAATGTTTAAATGAGATGTTATTGTTTGGCCTCACACACACACACGGCATGGCAATGTGTATACGACGTGACTGAGTGGAGGAGTGTGTGTGTGTGTTTGTGTATACATAATAATGAAATATTCGAAGCTGCAGAATCGCTCTGGTCGTGTATACAACAGTCGTTCACACCCAAATCGTGTTGTAACCGCGGTCGTGAGGCTGCTGCACCCGACTTACGCAGGCGGGGGCATAATATTATGGTATAGGTTATAGGTATAACCTAAGACTTATATTACTAGCTATTATATTATTGTTATTGCATTGCAATTGTATTCTCTCTTTCTCTCTCGCTCCTATGTACCTGTGTATATATTTATACAATATACATAGGTAATTTATATATATAGTAATACCTAGGGAATGCGATATAATATACCTACACTAGAGAAAAAGGAAGACATCGTACACGACCAACAATATAAATATTTCTTTTCGAATCGTTTGAATATTAATACATAATAAAACGAATGTTATAAGTGCTCATATTTTTTTTCTCGTGGTTTCTATAATAGCAATATGAAGCGTGTAAGTGTTATTACGTCTGGGGACGATAACGATACTCGAACGCGACTGGTCGATTCCGCCACTAGACCGCGAGAGTGGTGTTTTTATACATACCTAAACATAGTAATTCGGCTTAACAAAAACACCATTTATAATCCCTTTTTGTCCTGTAAACGTGTACCACCTCCTGGAAGTGTGTATACTGTGTATAGTGTGTACTGAGTACCAATAATATATATAATTATTCACGTCATGTCGAGTTTTTACGTACTTTATTTTACGTCTACAATGCCCGGTGAAAATTTTAATTGGCCCATACCAAAACAACGTAACGAATTCTCGACAAAATATAATACACACCCCTCAACTCTATTTGGCCAGGTTTTTATTCAAGTGCATATATTTACATGGCCCGTTTTTTTGAATTCTATGTATACTTTAACATGCATGTGTATATTGTGTAGGTTGTTATCCAAAGGGATTATCGGCTGCAATAATACGAGTTGGTGAATGCTTTGATAGCTTTTTGGTGGTTAGTTTAGGTATCTATATGGGCTATAATTATTATAAAGTACCTAACGAAACACTCAAATACATGTTATTATGGAACTTATTACACAGTACAACCCATGTATAAATATATTCGTATATTATATAGGAACCTATACAAATTATATTTTAACCACACAACAGGATATTTTGTTCACGTCCTAATAACAATCTGCAGAGCCCAGCGCCACACATCTGGTCGATTAAAATAATAAATATGAAAGTCTTATGGACATTTTAATAAATATAATAAAATAAATAAAAATTAAACTTTTCCTTCAACTCTGAACCATTGAACCCTTATACATGGAAAACTGTAATTATAGCATTCAACATTGTTAATAACTCATGAATAAGTAAGTATAATAACTTTTAACTTTTAACATTTAAATAGACTTTTTTAATCAAATCGTACTAGACGTACCTATTATGATACATTATATATTATCTACGTACTTGCTTAATAAGTTAGAATAGCTAATATAAATGTTATAAATGAAAGTTTCTATATCGTTGTTATTAATTATTATAAATATGATTATTGTAATTATTTATAATATGAAATATTTAATACAAATTGTTTGCAAAACCACATAAATAAATATGTAATATATATAAATTATAATGAAATATTATTGGATATCAATAAAGTTCATTAAAATTTACAGTGCGTGTTTTATTAGTATTTATAATTATCAACGTAGCTATTTCATCAATATATTGTGATGTGTGATATTATTTTATATTAATTTAAATCTCATTGCTATAGTAGGTAACTAATAAACCTAATTTTTCAAAAACAATACCTTATAAATGTTCCTAGTTCCTACTTTAATCAAAATTTCTCATTTAATATATTTGATGAAAAAAAAAAATGTTAATAATGCAAATTTTATGTAAGATAGCCGTATTACTATATTGCATTAAGTATATACATATTTGTTGTACATTAATTTAATGTGAAAGAAAAGACCGTATGGAAACCAATGAATGATATTTTAAATTGTAAATTACAGACCCTGTATATACTATATAGTTTATACCCTATACACATATATATATATTAACAACGTTTATATACATATAACAATTTATAGTATAGTTAATTAAACGTCTATGTACGAATTATTATGTTTTGATTATATGTTAAGTTAAATAGATTATTTGCAAGAACAAATAACATTATTATTATGATTATAATAAATTATTATTTATCGTGTATAAATATAGATTTATAGACAATTAAAAAACATATACAAGTAAATAACTATAAATAAATATACATAACTTTGATCTCTTCAGTGATCTGGTGGTATAATAATAAAATAGGTTTAATATTGTTAAAGTAAAATCGTTAGTTTAAAAATATTATTTTAACTACAAAAATTATAAAATCGATGGTAACTCATATTAAATGAAAAACTGGGAAGTTGGTCATCTGCGTTGTAGTGAGAATCAAATGAACCTTATCATTAAGTAGTTGATTATACATTTTAATAGATGTGTTAAGTTTGAATTCAATGAAAAGTCATTAAAAATCGAGATTTCTATTGGAGACTGTCTTAATTTGTTGGTAAACAAGGCTGACAAATATTCCTAAAGATTTTTTACACAGTATTTATATTGTTGTTATAAGTTATTTATTTTTCAATTAGTAATAATACTTTAAAAAGTTGAACTAATTATTAGAAAAAAGACAAATTGCATAGGTTATAAAGACGTTTTTATTATAACACGACTATGACCAACAGCTGTTAATAACCTAAGTCATTACTGACATATTGTAGAACGGTAATATGAAGAAGAGCATGGTATAAATAATTAGAATTGTGCAAATGTATTTTTTTAGATTTTTAGGTTTCTATAAAAGCAGCTTGTTTAGTACCTTACATTTTCAATTTTATGGTGTTACATTAAAAATATTATGAACTTTTACGCAATTATTGTAATGCGACGAAAAAGTTATATGTACATATTTAAGTATTAAGCCATGGTACTTAAATTATTTACTTCATAACTACTCAAATACGAGCTCTATTATAATCTTGTCAAATGTTGATAATTATTAAATTGTTAAATACAGAAATTGACTTCATATTGTTTCTGGACCAGCAAACAATATAATGGAGGGATTCAGAAGTACACTTTATGAGTGTACTTTTTTTATAAATATTAACTAAAAGTATTAATTTATAAGTTATACCTATGTCCTATTATAATAATTAATTATTGAACGCACGTGTATTTCGAAATACCTTCCAGTTTTTCGTTGAGGCATTTTAATAATTTCATGTTTTTTTCTTCTACAACTCGGGTTTTAACAAGTTAATATATGTATACCTAATGCAAAATCAACAATGTTTATAACTGTAAAGAACTATACGAGAAATGTGCTCTAAATAATTATAATTATTTTAATTTGGAATTTTTGTGAGATTATACATCATATTATATATCTTATACAGATTATATACTGTACTATAGGTAACAGGTGTATAACATAAATATTTTACGAGATTTACGAGTGTGATAAAATTGATATGTATAATACTATAATGTACATGTACAATAATATATAGCTAATATACGCATCTCACCGTATTAGTCTACATAAATAGGTATATATATATATAATATATAAATATATATAGGTACTTACTACTTACTTATAAATAGAGCATTTCAAGTATATCAGTCTTTATATCTTATTATTACATTAATAATATGTCTATTACTACATTATCTATTTTTTCAACAATTAAATACTTAATGGGCATAAACTATAATATCTTTTTACATATTTACGCTGTATATTAAACAATAATAATTTTTGGCTGTCTCAATTTTTTAAGGAAATTTGAAAACAATTACATTTTGTATTTTTTTGAGGAGATAGTAATAAATTTATAGAGTAACACAAGGTTTAAGTGTAATTGTGACCCTCTAAACTTTAATTAATTTATTACATAGTAAGCATATTGTGTACAAAATATTACTAGGCTTATACAATTTATGTTTTATTATTATATATGATACATAGTAGGCGGTATATCCATTTATTATGTATAAATATATAAATAATACACAGGATATTGTTTATTTGTTGATTTTCTCTAACTTGATGTTTGTGACCTGTACATACCTATGTAATGCTATTGTTATGAAATGTAATTTTAAAAAACACGTCGTCCACAAAATTACATTTCACCATGATGTATAAAAATAGTAGAAATTGTAATAGTATATAAGGTTTGTACCATCAAAGAGTAGATATATATATCGGTTTTTTTGTGCTGTTTATTTGACAGCAGGACCTATAGAATTGTCACTGCCAACTGCACAGTAATAGCAATTCCAAAGGTAACAGCAATGCGGGTATTTAGACTTTTGAATTTTTTTTCAGGTTTGGACGTTCAATATTAAAATCAAATAATCTCAAAACCACTTATGTGACACGGCAATGA